ACGACTACCTGACATTCATAAAAATGTTGTCTAGATGGAAGGAGGATCGTGAAAAATATCAATTTGAACGCTCCCAGCTTGACTACGCTGGCTATGCGCGGCTCTTTTACACGTGCTAGATGACCATTTTGTGTACAGAAAGTACAAATCGTCAATTTGTAAAGACGCGCCTCACAATGCGCGTGATCAGAGTAATTATCTCAACCCATCGTCGATCGTTGCTGTGCTTTGCAAAACAATGATCTTGATGGGTTAACATCGTCAACCAAAAAATAAAAAATTGGCCAAGAAATAAAAGTTTTAAAGCCCAAAATTTGGTACCCCAAGTGGTGTCAAAAACGCAAATTAAATAGGTAATAATTATTTTGGTTTTTTGAATCTTGACACCATAATTTAGCGTTATACGGGTTCCTGCTCGATTTTACTGGGCCGCGCTCAGCCGGTCATTCCGCCTAATCTCTGTTGTTTAACAACATTAAAGCCTGGGCCGGTCCTCAGGTAAGCTCGATCACGTGATATGACCGTATAAGGAAGTTAGTCCAATTTCTCGTTAGGGTTAGGTTTTCAAATTTCAGCATATGCTTTTGTTAAGGATTGGGTTAGGGTAAGGGTTGGGATCAAATTAGTCATTTGACAGTCGAGTGTAAAGTAATTAATCATTATCCTTAGCAATACTTGCTTTGATCGGATGGGTTCGGCAAAGCCACTATTGGCACTCGAGCCCTTGATCTTGCCGATGGTGCACTGGGCCTTTTGAGCTGCTGTCCTTCAGCTTCTTTCAATTGAAATAACTATTAATCCAAGTTGAGGCAATTAGCCGACGCGCGGCTTTTATGGTTATCTATGATATGTATTATCTGTAATAAAGATCAAAATTCAAATTTGTATTCCTTAAAATTTGTATTCTTTATCTGTTTGATCCATAGCGGGGAGCTATGGGTAATAACCCTCAAATCTTTTTCCTGTGCAGATACTTCAAGTTCTTTACCATTTGCATTGACCTTATAAGTTATTTATTTATTTAATTTAAATTAGGATTGTTGTTAAAATTGATATGCACTACTTTGCACTTTTTATTTTGTATTTGAAAATTCAATTAATTATTATATATCTTACTATATATAAAGCGAGACGATATATATATATATATATTTGAGACATTCAGTGAAACAGTAAAACACGAAATTCACATTAAGCTATCGATTGTGTAATCTTTACATGTCTCATTCTGAAAGCAAGTTTATTAAAGTAACTGTTCTATGAAGTAAATTAAAAACATGACAAAAATAGATCAATACTGAGATGGGAAATTTGTGAGTAAGTCTCATTCAATCATAAGATATAAACAAAAGATGCAGAGGTGAAAGTAAACATCAAAATGCAAGTGTCTGTGGAAAGATTAATATTAAAGCATATCATATAAAGGTCAATTTTTTATTTCATTAAGAGCACTACGTTTATTAAGTCCTCCAAAATCACTGAGGGTCATAAGCTGGTTTTGCCAAAATGATTCTCTTTCTTTAGCAACCCTACTTCTATCTTCTAAGGTTAAACATTTTATAAAATCTAGCTTTTCAAAAATAATAACCTCTATCTGATCGGATAACTCATTGTCAAACGTTTTTAAGGGCTCTTTGGTAAGATTATGGAACTGGTTATATATATATATTCATTGATCTAAGCAAAGCATTCGATACCATCTCAGCTGACAAATTACTGAGTAAGCTAGATAATTACGGAATTCGAGGCAATGCCAACAAACTCATTGCTAGTTATCTCTCTAATAGATATCAATACGTCTCGGTCCTAGGAGAAGAGTCTGACAAGCTTTCAGTTCTCTTTGGAGTACCCCAGGGATCTTGTCTTGGTCCGTTACTATTTATTATTTATATCAACGACCTATATAGGGCAACTGAACTAGGCAAGTTCATTCTATTTGCTGACGATACAAATATATTTGTCGCGGATGAATGTAAGATAAAGTTATATGAACGAGCAAACCAAATTCTCAAACTGGTACAACTGTATATGAAATGTAATCTCCTGCATATTAACATTAAGAAATGCTGTTACATTCACTTTAAACCAATCGAATAGAAAAAGCAAGGTAGAACATAATGAAGAAGAACACGTACTTACTCTAAACAATGTAGTAATAAAGCAAGTCAAAAAGGTGAAGTTTCTTGGTGTTATTATTGATGATCAGCTTAAATGGGATGCTCATATACGGTCGCTCAACACAAAGCTGAAATGTGAAAGTGGGAAAATTTGTAGAATACGGCACATTATTCCAGAAAAACTCTACAAAGAACTGTACTACACACTATTTGAATCACACTTGCGATTTGGGATATCAGTATGGGGTGGCCTTAGTAACAACAGGCTTGAACCAATATTTATCACTCAGAAGAAATGTGTTAGAATACTATTTGGTAACCGAGAGGCGTACTTAGAAAAGTTTAGAACTTGTGCTAGAACACGAAGTAAAGACAAGCAAAAAATAGGAAGCGACTTCTATGAAAAACAGCACACAAAACCGCTATTTAAGAAAAATGGTTTACTAACCATACACAGTTTGTTCAAACACACATGTTTATTGGAAATGTTCAAAATCAATAAATTAGAATCCCCAGTCCCACTCCTAAATCTATTTCACAGATCATCAAGACGTGCTGATCGATTCATCACTCCAACCCCATCCACCTCCTTCATATATCAATCGACAAAAATGTGGAACGATTGTAGAAACACTGCTAGCAATATCAACTTCTCTACATCAACGAACCTTGTAAAATCCACAATAAAAAAGGAGTTACTCAGCATGCAGTCCAGGTACGACGAAATAGATTGGTGTGAACTGAACTTCGATTCCAACGAACTGAAATTCTAATGTCTACTCAATGAAGATATGCTGAGCGCATAAATGTTAATGTCTAAAGTATAAAATTTCGGCGGTCACGCCGCGCATTTTGCGCGCTGTGCCGCTATTTTTGGCCCATCTTATCAGATATTATTTACAATGTACTCGCACAGTACATGCAGGGCATGCCTCAAGATCACATTAGTGTAGGAATCATTATGTTCTCAACAATTCATTATATGTCGAATTCAGCAGTGGGTCCTCTCTTCGTCCGGTTTGTGTGTTTGTCGCCTGTCTGGACTCTCGTAGTCATGTAATTTTTAATTTTTAATTTCTAATTTGTTATTTTAATTTTAATTTTAATTTTTCAATTTTCTAAATGTGTGTTCTGCTCCGGGACTCGATTACCGTTTCGGCTTTCTTGAGACTGTAAATTTGGAAAGCCAACTATGCGGGGCGCCTGCCCACCGGCACTGAAGAGTGATCAAAGAATTAACTAAAATTTCCTAATATAACGATTGAATATAGAGTTGTTTAACCGGCGCAGCCATGGGTGTGTGGCCTAGCTTTGGCTGCACACCTATGACTGCGCTGTTGCTGGTGGACAGGCGCAGTTTTTGTTGTGCAGTAGTGTTGCAAGAGAATAAAACCAACTTATTATGTACTAAATGGAATCAAGAATATTATTGACTATATTTGATAACGATGAAAATGTAAATTTCGATCAATTTATATTTTTCGGTCTCCAATTATTGAACTGCGGAAGCTGGTTGCCTCAACAATGTTGACTATGCATGGTATGACTGAATTGTAAACAGGTGATAATTGAACGAAAAATAAATGATGAACATGATTCAAAAACTGTAAACCACTAAATGAATTATCGCTTAAATTTAAATAAGTATTTAAACAAAAACCATCATGTGCCGTTAAGCAGCAGGGCGCGGCTCATCTGGGCCACAGCAAATCGGCGAAAATGGGTTCGAAAAAGCCACTATTGGCACTCGAGTCCTTGATCTTTCCGATGGTTCACTGGGGCTTTTTAGCTGCCGTCCTTCAGCTTCTGTAAACTGAAATTACTACCAATCCAAGTTGAGGCAATCAGCCGACGCGCGGCTTTTGTGGTTATATATGATATGTTTAATCTGTAATAAAGATCAAAATTCAAATTTGTTTCTCTAAAAAATTTGTTTCTCTATATATATATATATTTTGTAGATTTTATTTAGTTATACCATTATTCCAGAGACGTGCATATTACATTTTTTACTTAAGTATAAATTTAACAGGTTTTTGTTGTGATTTTAAGTGATTTTCCGAGAATCAGTTATCAGTATTTAGATAAGAGATAAGATAAGAGTACATTTTTAACGGCTTTCAGTTTCTTTTTTCAAATTTCAGTTCATCAGATTTTCCCACTGCTTTTAGTTTGTATTTATTCTCAATTGTATATGATTCGTATTTGTTGTAGTTACTTTAATGATATAATTTCTCAGAATTGATGTAAATAAACGATGCAAAGACTTTCGAAGATCTAATCACAACCGCTTTCTTTTATTGTGTAGAAGTCCAGCCATGAAATATATATATATATATGTTAGAGAAGAAAGATGATTTTTTTCTTGCATATTTTATTTCCCCACCTCTACCACTCATTCGGGATTTTCACCCATTAGTAATTTGAATTGCTGAGTAACGTAAAATTGCCAAAATATTGATTACGTAATATGTGAATGTCCCCTTAATGCACCACACCGCTCCCTCCACTCCTTGTAGGTTATAAAATGTGGGACAACGAAAAACGTATCTACGGTACAAGCAAAACTGCGCGTTTTGCTCTAGAAACACACTTTTTTATAGATTTTACTGCAAAGTTTTGCTAATACTTCAGTTAAGTATTTCAAAATTATCCCACATTCAAATGAGAAATGAGGATTTGGCGCCCCACCGCACAGCGGGGTCAGCGGGCCCTTCGTTACTCCACTGATCTTGATCACAAGAAACAATTATGTGGAAAATCAAAATGGTGCCACACCCGGTTTGAGATTATAGTGCAATATTTTGATACACTCTTGTCTGCTTGATAAAAAGATTTCCCTATGATATTTTTTCTTTATCATCATGTCTGTTTAATAGGTTTACCATGGAAGAAACTGTTGATTCGATAGACAGTGATCTTGGTCACGCAGATAAGAAAGTTAAGCTAACTAAAAGTACTATTGCTATGATCGAGAGAAAAAGACAAAATGCTATACTGTTGCGTGAAAGCAGATTACAATGCAGGGTAACAGCTGTCAGCTCAAGTTCCAACTCTGATTCGAAAGCATCTTGTAAACCTTCAAAAAATAAAATTGTTATTTGTAGTAAGGATAGTTCCGATCTCACCAACCTGCTGTCATCTGTAAACTGCAGGGAATGCAATATTCATTGTAATGCCAGTTATCTCTATGAGAAATTCGGTGAAAATGTATGCGATGAATGTCGAGCAAAAGATAAAGATCAGTTCAAACTGATGTCAAAGACAGATGCCAAGAATGAGTTTGTGTTGAAGGATTGCGATTTGGATTTGCGAGAGCCGCTCCTGAAATTTTCTACTGCTCCTAATCCTCATAATCAAAGAGCAGGATTTATGAAACTATACTTACTAGGGCAGGTGTATGAGCGTGCATGTGAAGTACATGGAGGTGATGAAGGTATAGACAAAGCCATATTGCAGCGATCTAAAAATAGGGAAGTGTTGGCTCAACAAAAAATGAATAAAAAATTGAAAGAACTGCGAAAAAATTCTAAACCTCGTCAGATGAAGAAGGCGCATGTTCATGAATATGGAAAAGAAGTTTATGATGAGGATAATGATGAATATAGCCATTGCTGTAAATCATGTCATTATACTGAAACATATGAGAAACTTTGAAATTAGGATCAACTAGTTCTTATTAACTGTAACTGCAATATAATATACATTATAATGTATAAATACAATATTGAATCTATGGTAATTGAGTATAATCTATGATTTCGTAGATATTTCCAGGTCAGTTATATGTCAGTTATATTAGTAATTTAGAATGAGCTGTCATTCTGTACTGCATATTTACTTCCAATCTTTAAAGTTATGTATATTAATGTTTAATTCTTGTTATATTCCGTTTTTAATACATAATGACTTTTATTGATAAGTTGTTGGAAAAAGAAAAAGCTGCATCATTTATTGCCTTATGATGAGTGTGCTCAATACAAAATAATTTATAAAATTGTTGTATAAAATCGTTGACAAAAGATCAAACCCATCTCATGTGATGACCTATAGATTACATTGGGGGTCGTTCACATATTACGTAATCAGCCAAGGGGAAGGGGGGGGGGGGGGTTTCCAAATGATTACCCCAGTGTAATTTTGACACAATAGCTATATATGTGTAAAACTGATTACAGAGGGGGGAGGGGGGGGTTAAAAATTGTCCAAAAAGTGATTACGTAATATGTGAACAACCCCTTATTCAAATTACAAAATATTTCAAACAAAACATAATCACTAATCATGTATTATTTCTCCTAGGTCTAAAGATAAAAATGCAGCGACCCCCTAGCTTTACAACTGCTCAAATTCAAGGAGATTTGAAAGCTTTTGAAAGAAGAATAACAAAAGCTGTTCAGTACTTGGAACCTAAATCCTACAGATGGCGTATCTTATTGTTTCTGAGTGTTATGTTTGTTCTTTTGAGTGGATACAGCTTTATCACCAACATTCAACTCGATCAGAACTTTTCAATTCTATTAGCCCTGTATGAGAACAAGGTATTTGCTGCTGCACTTTTCTTTCTGGGTCTACTGGTTATAACTGGCGCTCACAAGCGTGCCAACACATCTGCAATCATATTAGCCAGAAATAGACAAGTTCTATTGGAATACAACTTATCTTGTAATGACAAAGGAAAACTAATCATTAAACCAAGCAAAGATAAAGACATTTAGATTATCATATATGATATATTTTTATATTACCATAACGTTATCTCTTCCATTATCAAACTGTTCATGATCATGATTTGACTACTTATTTTAAGTTGGTGGCTATCTTAGTGTAAATATATTCTGCCAAGTTCTATAATTAAAGTACATTTTTCTTTGTATTAATCTCATGACAGATAGTTTAGATAGTGTATATAAAGTCACTATTTAACATTGGAAGTGCATCATCATCTTTTGCTTTTTGTACATCAAAAAACTGCCTTGTCAACTGAATATGAGAAGGCTTTGGGTCAATTAACTTATTGATGTCTTTAATGGCTTCCGAATAACTTGTACACTCAGATTATAGACTTTACTCTCCCCTAGTTCTGTGCACATAGGTAATAACTGAACTGCAAACACAAAGCACAGCTCCTAGAAGTTTGACTTGCTAGAATAGGGAAAGGTCTGAGTTAATATCGTTAATACATGATATTAATACCTAAGCCATAACAAGCCTAAAAACTACCTAACAATTATATGAGAAATGTAATTTCTATTTCAAATCACGAAGATTTTAAGTGTCTTTAAGTTAACTTGCTATTCTGTAACTTATGTATCTTAGTGAGTAAGGGGTCGGTCATATTTCACGTAATCAGTAGAGAGTGGTTTTTAATTTCGTAACTTCCAGCTAGAAGGCGGGGTAAAGGATTTGATAAAAGCTGATAACGGTCGAAGATAGGGTTAAAATTCTACATGTTTACTACATTACATGTGAACGACCCCTGTTAGATTTGTTAGGAGCAATTGATCGTTATGTTAATTGAAAATGTAAATTACTAGAGCTAATAGAGCTGTAAAAGATCTGTTGAAGTGTTAAAATCTTTGTGTTGAAGTAAATAACAATGTTGAACACATTCGCTACACTACAGTTTGTGACCAGGATAAGAACTTGTATCTTGTATTGTAGACTCTATATATACTATATAGACTACTATATAGACTATATAATATAGACTCTATATGACTCAATTTTACTTGGAACAGAATATGACCGTTGAAAGATTTCAGCTGGTTCAGAGTTTTTGTTATTTCACATTCAAATTTAAATGATAAAACAACTACAGAGAAAAGGATCAAGATATTTTGGATTATTCATATGGCCTTTTACTGTATGACAATGTTACTGTGTGAAAATGTTTATTCAGAGTTCTGTATTAATAAAGTAATCAGCCTGATAATCAATTAACGTAATAAATAATTCTATGGTATACTTCTAACAACTGACACATTTCTTTCAATGTTAACTGTACGACAATTTTCACCAACTTTTCGAAACAAACTGCTACATTTTCAGGCTAGAGATGCGATTGTGATAACTTTATCCTGGTCATTACATACATTACATACATAATTACATTACATTGGCTGTTTAATGTTTTAATAGAGTACTACTAGTTATTTTAGAGGAGCTGAAAAGAATTTGGTTCCCTTGCCTTTTCAAACTTTTCAACTTTGTTTCTACAGTGTATTATAGGAGAATTAATGTTACAATGGACAATACTCTTCAAATTTTGATTAATTCTTGTAACGTGAATATTAGGGTGTAATATTCAGCTGTAAACACTTTCATACCTTGAGGTTCAATAACAACAGTTTTAGTCTGGCAAAGCGAAATCCCCAGATATGATATTACAATTATTAGAATTTAATTCTGAAGCAAAAGTTTGTGTAGTAATTAATCTGATTTATGTTATCGTAATTTTGATTTTACTTACCAGTGTATACCTTTACAAACTGATCTGTAAAGTTTCTTATAAATTTGAACTTGTGGATCGTCAAAAATACACAAACTTTATTATTAGTTTAAATCTCTTAATTGGATTTCATTTTATCATGACCCTATCATTGATCAGGACATGTCAACAACACCAGCCCCTGGCTCCTCAGGAAGCCAGACGATCACAGCCACAGAAGAGGCTCCTGTACCATGTCCGCCCACCACTGTGGTCCTAAAGAAACCTAAACCTAGAGGAGTTAAGTGGGACGAATCTACTGCCATTGATAACGAACATATGGGCAAGAAAAGTTCTAAAGTGTGCTGTATCTATCACAAGCCACGAGCATACGATGAAAGTGATTCAGAAGATGAGTGTAATCATGGCCATGGGGGTAAAAATGCCTATGACAGACAACCTTGCTCCTCAAAGAAAGACTGAACAAAAGTTGACGTGTATATAATTTTCTTATACGTTCCGACCACATTTTTTGCTGCTACTAATTGTTACTTTGCAAGGGAGTCATTTAAGTTTAGACATGTAGTATGCCATCTAAATTACATTCTACCCTCGGAGTATGTACTATGTATACAGAAAGCATATCATTTGTGATTCAATGCCACTGAGAAATCATGAATTGATAATAACATGTTTATAAATTTTTTTGATGTGAATTGTTATTGTACCTATTTGAATATTATGAACCTTTAAATGTACACGTTGTTACTCATCTCTGTTTAGGTGCCAAAAAATATCAAAGAAAAATATCATAACTCATATATCTTAGAATATCATCGCTTTATTTGTCTCATCTTATTTGATTCATCTGGGGTCTGACACTAGGATTGCACAATTGTTCAATGTCAATATTTAAAAAAAAGTGGTATCACATTTTAATTGAAAGCACATGGTTTTCAGAACTATTAAATCATCATCATTTACTCAGGATGCTTTTCTACTCATTTTTCAAATCTCTGGTGGGTAAAGACGTAATTGTAGAGCTGAAGAACGACCTTAGCATCTGCGGTACACTCCACTCGGTGGACCAGTTTTTAAATATCAAACTGACAGGTAACCCATTTTAGGAGTACACTTTGATACATGCGTAAAATATTTCATAAAATTGCATGCGCATATTGCACTTTAATTATCTATCATTATATGTCTTTATTCAATTATGACTCAATTAGTATCGTGGTGTCGCCACCTAATGTTAAGCCATGCGATCTTAGCACGTTAAATTATATTAACTCTGTACGACTGAGTTGACAAAAGATGACGTCACCAGGCAACATTTTTCAGGCCATTAACCAATTTCCAGCAACATTGCCTAATATTTCTAATTTCAGATATAAGTGTGTCCGATTCAGACAAGTACCCTCACATGTTAAGTGTTAAGAACTGTTTTATCAGGGGAAGTGTAGTCAGGTTCGTTAAATTCATCCGCCAGTTGTGATTTAAATTGAAATTCTTAAAACCAGCTACAACGTCTAGGAAACTGGAAACATCGTTGAAAATAGTTAACGGTGAAAAAATTTCGGATATATCCAAATATGATACAATAATGATTTACATTTTGTTTACAGATATTGCCATATTCCGGCAGAAGAAGTGGACCCTGCCCTTTTGATGGATGCTACCCGAAAAGAAGCGCAGCAAAATAAGCAATCTACTGGAGCTTAACACTGAATCATATAAACATTATTAACAGAAGCTATTACACTATCACTTACTATTATTTGACATTTTGTCACGAATTTGTACGTGTTTTCTTGAAATGGAAAACTGCTTCTTTCGTCAAGGATGCCAATCTTTTACATCTTGTTCTTAAGGTTTATCTTGAGACAGAGCTTTTGATATATTTTAATAATTTGATATTTATCACCTGTATTGAGTACATTTCTTCGTGATACTTTAAATTCAACTTTTAACATTTGTGAGTATAGTTACTGCATTTACTCATGTTAATCATGAAGCAATTATTGTGATCTACTCTAGTACCCTATCATGAATTTGCATACAAACGTTATAAACGTAGCCGATCACAATTCTGCAATCTGCATTTAGGAACACAATATACAAACTTCTACAGAATAATCAAATAATTAAGTAATCCTACAGAATAGTTCGCAAAGATCAGTCATGAGAAAATGAATTCCTGTTTTGTTCTACTTCTTTGATAGTTCCTCAATAGAATATGAGATTAGAATTACATACACAGTAGCAGCGCATGGTGTTACAGATCATGGAGATTGTGGCTCTCTAGCGTGTCATCAGCTCAATAGCTCATGTCCTGAGCTACCTTTTCTGCGCGCATTTTCTGCGCACCTTTTCTTTGCATCGATCATCATTGGAGAAAGCGGTATAACTGGTTTCCTAATCAGATGAAGTTTTATTGCCAGTAATTTTACCTCGTCCTTCAGAACATCCCTCAGAGTATGAGAGGTTATAATGTAAAGAAGAGGAGAAATCGACAACGACAAGAACACTAAGGTCAGAGCTAAATCAAAGAAAAGAAATCCTGTTGAACTCTGATTAGCTAAGAGCTCGTAAGTTTGACGAGGCTGGATCTCTACTTACTTTACTTTGAGTACTTTGAGTAGGTTTGGCTGGGATCGCTTCAGGACAACAGTATCAAGTACGTCCTCCTATCACTCCACAGGGGTCTTTTTGTAAGTACCATTCCAAGAGTGAGTTGTTGTTAGTAGCGGTGTATCCTTTAGTCGGAGGTGTGTCGGGGAATTCTTTAAGGAATTTAGCCAGTGACGATTTTAACAGGTCCAAAGTAGAGATGGAATTAATTTCTTTGGGGAGAAGATTCCACAGCTGTGCCGCTTTCACTCCAAACGAGTTTTCATAGTGAGTTGCCACAGAACGCTGTGATTTGTTGTTCAGTGCTGGTACAGTAGCTTTTATTCCATGTCGGGGGTTGTTTTTGAACAGCATGCCAATATCATTTGGGGCCAGGCCATTGAGAATTTTCCATGTGTGGATCAAGATGTACCTTTCTCGACGTCTCTGCAATGATATGATATTGATATGATATCTCCATTGGAATCCACATTAAAGTGGCGAAACTGTATTGCACTACTATAAATATTATTGACCAAGGAATCAACATCCTTTCGAGCTTTGCATTGGCAGCAACTTGGCCTCGTTCCAAGGCTGCTGCTAGTCTTCCAAAGCTCCAATATTTCCTAAAATTTGCCCTGTAGCTGTATTTGTTCTGCGTTTTGGAGCCCGTACTCTTTATTTCCGAATTTTGTAATGTTTGGTGATTCTTTTTGGCTGTTACTGCTGTTTTTACTATTTGTGCATAGAATGCCACTACCAAAATGACCGGAATGATGTACCCAAGAGAAGCGTATAGTGAATAGAAAGCGATACAGTTACTTGATATAGGGTCTCTTCCATCGGTAAACTCACAAATCAACAAATGTTTACATTGGCTTTTGCAACCTGACTCATCTTAACATCGCAGAGTCCCATGCATGGAAGGGAGCCTATGAAAGCACCGAATAGAACAATCCCAAGCATGACTGGAATCAGGACTGTGTTTTTCAAGATATCTTTTTGATGCAAGGGCCACTGGACGAAAATAAGCCGAACAGTTGTGATGAGTAGAACTCCGTAGACCGTACACAGGAACAATCAAAGCTGCTGCATTAAGACAGGATATAATTCTGCAGGAGTGGTCAGTCAGCATGTTCGTTGATGTGGCTATAAGAGAACCCGTTATCACGACAACCAAACACAGTTGAGTTGAGCTGTAAAATATAACTGACGAGTAAAGTGAGAGGAGTCCAGGGAGTCTTTTTACGATGAGATAGAAGATTAAAATGCAGCTCACAATTGCCACAAATATACAAGGTCTACAAGTTACTTTGGTGATGTGCCATTCCAGCACTGTACCATCAGTAGTAATGATAGTATTGTTTGGATTGATCATTAACTTTACAGGGATATTTGCATTTGATGATGTGGTTGCTGCTGCTGCTGTAGATGATAATTCTGTTGTTACATTCTGTCCTCTCGTCAAGGTTATTAACTCTGGTACTTTATCTGGTTCATATCTCATGGTTCAAAAACCTAAATAAAGCCAGTCAATTCAGTGAAGGTACCAAATAAACCAGATAATTTGGCGATAAAACCAGGTATAACAGCTCAAAAATGTGATTTGCATACTAAGAAAAAACTACAGAACATAAGTTTAAGCCCAGGTCGTAGTGAACAAGTGCAATGTGGATCAGGTTAGATTACTGTCCCTCACGTCATAGTGTAAGGTGTCGCACATGTGCAGTCGGGTCATGTGTACGCTTCTATAAATACTTGAATAGAATGAATTATTAGGTTAGACTTCTCTCTGTTCGAGGCAATAGTACAACAATGGAAGTGACTGGCCTCACCAGTCATATAATATAGACTGCTCAAAACCAGATAATAGAATTTATTCGTGAATAAAGATGGTCAAATTAAACAACTAGTGCAGCTTCAATAGTCTGAAAACCAGTTTGAGTTTTGTAATTATCTCGAGATGATAGATGTGGATTCTGGTGTGGAGGTGAGGCATAATTGTTTACCTTAAAGACGTCATCAAAATGTGCACATCCCAATTATTCCATATATGGCAAAAAATATGCCTCAACTCCCCACCAGAATCCACACCAGACAGACTCGTAATTTAGTTAATAATATTTGATTAATTAAATAACATGATTTGTGCAAAAAATAACTTTTCATTTTCCAGAACTAGATATGGATAAGATCATAGAAGGTATATTTGCTGTGGACAAAGATCACAAGCAAAAGCTTGTCCTGATTCAGACTCTAAAACCTCACTTGTTGAAGGTTGATGTGGTCGCTGCTCACAAGATCATATCACTATGTCTGGACAGGCTGTCGGATAATACAATAGTTACTGCGAGAAGTCTCAGCTCGCATACCCTAACTATTATGTTTCAGGTAAGATACCGATTTAAATATACCATATTTTTCTTAGAGCCTAATTTGACTAGAGCCTGAGCAATTTAAATAAGCAGTGGACGTCTTGGTATGATCGAGATGAAAGGTGTACACTCTACATTTTCGTTATAAGGGGCAGTATTTTCTACTAGTACTAGTTAGGGCAAGAATATAAATTTATGGGACCATTTTTGAAATTCTGAATTCTTTAACTCAAATTTATTTTTTGTGTCAAGAACTATCCCAGAAAACCATCAGAAACCATTATATCCAATCGCTGATCTCCAGAAACCCCCTTTTGGAACCGCTTATTATGACAAAATTTGTCAAAAATGTGTCAAAAGTGCTTGAAACCTCAGATTTTTGAGTGGTATTTAAGTACATACTTTTGTCAGAAAACGGCAGAAGCAAAAAATTCCCTAAAATGCTAATTTTCTGAGTTAGGGGTCGTTCACATATTACGTCAATTTTTGGGCAATTTTCAACCCCCCTCCAGCTCCCCCTCCGTAATCAGTTTTACACATAGCTATTGTGTCAAAATTACACTATCGTAATCATTTGGAAACCCACCTTATTGGCCAAAACATTATGTTAACTACTGCAAATCAAGATAATTTACAGGGTCAGAAGCTTGTTATTTAAGGGGGGTGGGGGGAGGGGGGTGGGGGGCGCCAGATCGTTATTTGAATGTGGGACAATTTTGAAAAAATTACCTATGGTACTAGCAAAACTGCGCGTTTTGCTCTAGAAGCACACTTTTTTAGAGATTTTACCGGCACACGGGCACATCCTCTAAACTCATCTAATTTGTCCAATTTTATGATTTACTTTAAAAGGGGAGGGGTGCCAACAGTGGTGCGCTTTTTCGGCGGGGGTGCCAACATCCAACGTTACGCCACTGAACAAGAGGACAGTCGGTAGTTTAACGAAGGGGGCACCATCTTGAGAGGTTGCCAAATCGTCGTTTGAATGACAATTTTGAAAATTTGTACAAAAGTACTAGTCAAATTACAGATATGCTCAAAGAAATTTGTTCAATTTTAGGGAGGGGCGCCAAAAGGGGAGGGGGCACCAACAGGGGGGCGCTCTGTCCAGACTGCCTAGTGCCCATGGTAATGTCAAAGGGATCACTCTGAAAAGACAATAGTTTACCAAGCAGTTGTTAGAACCACATCAAGCAAGGACCTCACATATAGTTTCACTGCGTCATAATATATAGGGAGAACAGAGAACAATTTCAAAACACGATGGTATAATCATCGACAGAGTTTCCAAAACCCTAAGTACAGATTGAGTACAGAACTTTCAAAAGCAATATGGGACTTCAAGGAGAGAAACATAGAGTATAATATAGACTGGAAAATCATTACCAAATCAAACAGTCATACGGCAGGGGCACTGGGCCTCTGCCTAGATGAGAAGCTGCGCATATTAAAGAATACAAGCTCATTAAATAAAAGATCTGAGCTGATCTCAAAATGTCGACATTCTAGGAAATTTTTAGTTAGAAATTGTTAATCATAGGTTTTAGGAAATTTTTGTCAATATGTTTGATAAAGGAGCACTGTGTTGTATTATATTTGTTATTTCAAATGTATTTATATATCCCTGATGATTGATCACACATGCACATGAAACTTTTAGTTGGACAATAACGTCGTTTACTTTGTAACGCTTAGAAAATTTAGAATCATGTATTTAGATTTTAGATGTTTATCTTTTCGAGTATATTGCAAACGTTCGCGTTTATACCAAAAAGTGCGAAAGTTGCAAATCTGTCTTCAATTTTCTGTCAAAAACTGTGTAAGTGAATGTTTAGCTGCTTGGAACAGTTTATTGAAGTATTATAGCCGTTGTGGAACGGTTGCACATATATATTCACATCTCACAGATCTTCCAAAATCGAGTTATGACTTTTAGGGTTGGGCGTATGTGCACCAGGAGAAAAATTGCTCAAGAAAGTTTTGCCCAACAGTTTCAGTTGAACGGTTATTGTTTGTCGTTCCTGGGACTATGGACAACACATTCCTGTAGAAAAAGAGAAACCTTTGTTACGAATTTATTCACAGACTATGCTATTCTTTCCCTAACTATACTATGTACATCATTTCATCTATTAATTTTGAATAAATATGAATTAAATCGTATACTTAACAGTTAACTTGAAGTTCTGCCAAACAGATGGCTCACTATTTTGGGATTTTCAGATCCTGTAGCCTATAATTGAAACATTGTAGGTACATCCTGAAAGAGTTATCTCTGGTTTATCTCGAGAGCTAGAGGATCATAATAACAGAGAATGCATCACACTAGCATCCAAACTTATTGTCAAATCTCTCAAAAGATCTCAGCTTTCCCTGCACGAGGTTTGTGAGTTCTACTTTACCATTAAAATAGAAAGAATAATGATACCACATTATACAGAGCTCTATTGATTTGTGCTAAAGGTATCTTACTCTTAACTCTGGTTCACTGTACTTCATTTTATAAATTTATTGGTTTTGGCGCAGGCAACTCCTTATTTTTGTTAAGTTTGGAGTCAATCAAAACTTGCTTATGGTCAATGGATTGCTCGAATTGATACGTCTTACAATCTTCAATATGAAATATTGTACGATTAATCAAACAGTCAAACAACGTGGGCTAAATAATTGGTGAATTTTCAATGATTATACTGAGCTATTAATTAATTGGAATCAAGCTTTATTCATTTCTTAGGGAAAGAAAATTGGGGCAATTTTATCAAACAACAAACTGCTGACATTCTCTGGAGCAGACATTCGAGTGATTATTGGACAGCTTCACAACTCCAAACATTGGTTCAGCGATACGTCAAGTTGGCTGGAAACATACTTCTATTACTCTGGGTTAACCGACCAAACATCAGATGTAAGTATAATTTTTTTCCCTACCAATGCCGAAGGCAACAAGAAATGCGGCCGCTTTTCTTTTGTGGATGGCCGCTCAATTTCCCGATCCGGGATGAAGTATTCTATCATATTCCATACCAGTACCACCTGGGGACCCCAGTCTTTGCTGTTTATAAGCATGCAGATATGGCGGAGTGACAGGCCGAGCGCCGCCCAGTTGATATAATTCTATATTGAATTTGAAAATCGTGTATATTTCTATGTAACTATATGTTTATCGTTTATGCAACCTGACACGGATCTGTGCAAAATAGTAATACTAACTCAAAATAATAATACAATGCTATCAATTAGTCCCTATCGGGATGCGTACATGGTAAAATTAACAATGTACTTGAACATTTCAGCACCGCGCGCCAACAATTGTTTAATTCAGATGATCGCGCAAAATAACTTTGTGCAGGCAGACACGTGGGCGATAACTAGACTGGGGGCGAGGGCACGCACGCACGCACGCACGCACGCACGGTCGCAAAGCTACCATATACAAAAAAAACCTCGATCGCTAACCCTTGTCCTTGACTCTTTTGTGCCTTCGGCACTTTGAGTCATGGATCGGGAAAAAATATGTAGGGAATTTAAGCAATCGGGTTTGGATATGTGAGGTGGCGAAACGTTGCACCGGTTAGCACAGCAAGCTTACAAGCTACTCCCTTTTTATGACATGAAAACACGACTTTCACGTGCGCCACACTAATTTCACTTGAAATAATTACTGTTACAAGTACATTGCCGGGAATATTGATCGTGCGTTGTGTAACCGCGGCGAAATTCTTCAGGTATAGAATATAAGAAATATTTGTGCTTTTCTACCGTTGTTTATATAGCGGAAGAGATAAACTTCATGATTGGCGTGATATAGCTTTTTGTCGGATATTCCCCGGCGAATTATATTGAACGGCACCACTTATTCTCGACTGGGGGTAGGTTAAACAAGTAACTAAGCGTGGTGGTGTGTACACGTTAGAAAAACTGTTCTGATTTGATGAGCAGTGAGCATGAGCTCAATTGGTCCCGGTAAAGTTTTGCTGCTTTCGCGCCATCACGAGTGACAGGAATATTGCCAAAAGGGTCTACCGCTCACAAAACTGCAATGCGCAAATAAATTTTTCTTGAAAATCAGGCGCAGAACGCACGTTTATTTTTAACGAGTCGCGCGCCCTATTAATTGCAAGTCTCGATCTATTATATTGAATAGCGCAATCAAAATGGTATCATCGAATAAAAATAGCTGATAAAAACATTGGAATGATCACAAAAAAACCTTGACTAATTGAGAATATCGACCGCAGGTTTCAGACCAGAATATTTTTACGGCGGACCAAGTGTCACTAGTAACAACTTTAAAGCTAATTGCTAGTAAGCTGGCAAGTGGAGACCTTTCTTTGGTCCAGGTTAGAAATTTACAGTTATTGAGTTGTGTTTGAAACTGATTTAGAACCCAAGTTTAAATTTGATTGGTTAATCTGGCCATACATCCAGGTATGATCAGTCTTCGTTATTATTGAACTGTACCATTTCTCCAAATGAAAATGAGATCTATCTTATCGCAGGGGTCGATTCTATCCAACATCAAAGACAGAACAATTGTTGACACAGCAAGCCAGGAATTTCTTGATTCTCTAACGGAGTCTAATATCTCCAAATGTTTTGATAATCTGTTAGCACTTCAAATACAAGGCCTCGTGCTGTCTCACTGGATTATAGCCCTGACCGAGTTACTTTCTGCGGACAAAAGGTTCATGCTGGTGATCCAACTTTCAGAAAGGCTTGTAGAATCTATACTTGCTCCCAGAACTGGGATCACATCACCTGACAGTCTAGAACTAGTATGTCAACTTTTACTCCTTCATCAACATTCTCCATTTCTATTCCATAGACACTTTACCAAACTGGTCGCATTCGAGTCAGAAGAGTGTATCAAAAAAACGTTACAGTGCATGATGCTCAAATATCCTCATTTTGGTAGATTATATGGAAAAACTCGCAACAGCTATATGTATCAATGGCATGAACTTCAAAGTATGTTGGCTAGTTCTGACATTAGCTCAAATCGTGGTGTTGGATTTAATAACTTGGGAAATACGTGCTATTTTAATAGCCTGGTCCAGGCAATGTGGCTATCAGTTCCATTCCAGATGGATGTCATATTCAATAGAGCTGAATCGAGCATCTTATCAGAGCTGAGACGTGTATTTCTTAATCTATCTTACTCAGTACGACAATCTTTCTCTCCAGACACTTTGTTTCACGTGTTGAGACCCCCCTGGTTCTCATTTGGCTCACAACAGGACTCCGCTGAACTTCTACGTCACATGTTTGATTTGGTTAGTAGCTATATACAAAGTCCATTATAAGGTTTCTAAATGATTATGCAGTGTAATTTGAACACAATAGGTATGTGTAAAACTGATGACGGAGGGGGTTTAAAATGGCCAGAAATTATTAAATTTGATATGCGAACAACCCTCACTATGAGTATAACAGTAATATGGCCTGTAGGGTTTACTGATCAAGCAATTATCAAATTTTTAAATCATACTATTTTGTTGACCAATTACACCTTCAGATAAGTTCCGGAAGCGGTCCAAGTGGAACAGAACCGACAAATCCTCTACAAGAAGGTTTAGCAGGAGGCAGAGATTTGGGGTCCCTGGAATCCAGCAAATATCGACAGTACTACTCAGCCAACAAGGATATAAATACGGAATCCCAGCCCTCCCAAATTATAACGAAAAATTTTCAGGGAGTGCAAGAGGTGACCATCGTTTGTGACACTTGTGACACTGCTTCATCTAAAGAAGAGCCATTTCTGTTCCTTTCGTTGCCATGCGGAAAGGAAACTACAAGTTTAGAAGATCTGATCACGAGTTCCCTTGCTACGGAGCACCTCAGCCAAGAAAATCAGTATCACTGTGAGACTTGTACCACAAAATCGGACGCGGTTCGAAAAACAACACTCAATAAAATGCCTAACACCTTCATTTTCACCATCAATCGTTTTTCTTATAATAAAGAACTGAAGTGCCGATCAAAACTTCTGACGAAAGTACAGATACCAGCTACATTGAGATTCACCGCACAATCTGACTCCACTTTCACAATCGGCACCACGGATATCACGGACACCACGGACACCATAGACACCACGGAAACCACAGACACCAACGACACAACAACAGATGTAGTGTACCAATTGTATGGTACACTGGTACACAGTGGAAGTACGACAGAGAGCGGACACTACTACACGTACGGGGTACCCTCCTCCTACTCCTCACTATCCGTCCTCTCTCACTGTCTCTGTTTTAACGACTCACGTGTCACCTATGTAAATGAGGACCTGGTAAACTCTCCCCGGGGCAGTATGGATACGCCCTACCTACTGTTCTACCAGCGCCTACCCACAGAGCAGCCACCCCAGGACCTAGATGTTGGGGAGCTCTCAGAGATACTGAGCAGTAATGTGAGGTGGTTACAGCAGCAAGTACAGAGTCAGGTGGTAAGACAAACTGGCTCAAAGTTTAAGGAACCTCCGTCCAAAGATGAGGATGACGATGATAGTAACAAGGATATTTATTCGAAGGGTTGTCATGATAACGAGTTTGCCACTGGATCAAGCAGATTCATTTACTGAAATGAAGTTTGCAGGCGTCCAACTAGATAACATTGGGTTTTTTGTACAACAATTCTACTTAGGAAAGTATGTGGAGTCGAATGTATGAATATGTTTTGAATGGGAGTGGATTAAGATTACGGAGAGTGGTTTTGTATAAGTATACACTATACAAAGGAATACCGGGGGGGGGGGGGGCCAATGGCATAAATGGAGAAAATGGAGAATTACTCATAGGTTTTTCCATTTTCTCCATAGAAATAGTCTCCATTTTATGCCATTTTATGCCATTTTATGCCATTGAAAACCTGAAAAATTTAGAATTTCGAGAAAAATTATTTAAAAAAAATATATTTTCGGCCAATAATGAACAGAGTATCATGAAACATGGAGAAAAGTGGTTTTCAGAAAAACTTTGAAAAATGTTGACTTAGAAAATGTTCGGTCCGAGTCATTTACGATACGTACCTCCCGTATCGAGAGCTCCCGATTCCCAGCTCGTGTTGCAAAGGGGAGGCCTGCCTTCCGAGATCGCATTACCTCTAGTCCAAAATTGTGTATCGAGGGGAAGGTGTGGACTTCGAAAAACCGAAAAAATATTTTCGGCAAATAATGAACAGGGTAGCATGAAACGTGGAGAAAAGCGGTTTTCAGAAAAAATTTGAAAAATGCTGACTTAGAAAATGTTCGGTCCGAGTCATTTTCGATACGTACCTCCCGTATCGAGAGCTCCCGATTCCGAGCTCGTGTTGCAAAGGGGAGGCCTGCCTTCCGAGATCGCATTTCCTCGAGTCCAAAATTGTGTATCGAGGGAAGGTGTGGACTTCGAAAAACCGAAAAAAATTTTTTCGGCAAATAATGAATAGAGTGCTGGCCTTAGGAACGATCCTTCGGCTTCTTGTAAAGCTCTTCCTTGAAAGTGCTGGTTTACATTGTAATGCAGGTAATGCCGAAGTAAAATAACAAAGGTGGTCGACTCATTCGATGGCCTTGTTGCGTCGCAACGAATCCTCATAAGATAAGATAAGATAAGATAAGAGTAGCATGAAACGTGGAGAAAAGTTGTTTTCAGAAAAAATTTGAAAAATTTTGACTTAGAAATTACCCCTCGGTACACAATTTTGGACTCGAGGCTTCCCCCTGGTAATGCGATCTCGGAAGGCCTCCCCTTTGCAACACGAGCTCGGAATCGGGAGCTCTCGATACGAGAGGTACGTATCGAGAATGACTCGGGCCGAAAATTTTCTAAGTCAAAATTTTTCAAAGTTTTTCTAAAAACCACTTTTCTCCACGTTTCATGCTACCCTCTTCATTATAAGCCGAAAATATTTTTTTGGTTTTTCGGTTTATCGAAGTCTGCACCTACCCCTCGATACACAAATTTGGACTCGAGGCTTCCCCCTGGTAATGCGATCTCGGAAGGCAGGCCTCCCCTTTGCAACACGAGCTCGGAATCGGGAGCTGTCGATACGACTACGAGAGGTACGTATCGAGAATGACTCGGGCCGAAAATTTTCTAAGTCAAAATTTTTCAAAGTTTTTCTAAAAACCACTTTTCTCCACGTTTCATGCTACCTTCTTCATTATAAGCCGAAAATATTTTTTTGGTTTTTCGGTTTATCGAAGTCTGCACCTACCCCTCGATACACAAATTTGGACTCGAGGCTTCCCCCTGGTAATGCGATCTCGGAAGGCAGGCCTCCCCTTTGCAGTGCGAGCTTGTTTCGACTGTCGAGGATGTAGGTCTCACTTCTCAGTGCCTATTACTCTCCCCTATTACTCACTCCTGCTGTAGCCTGTAGAAATAACTTTACACTAGGCTTGAGTAATTATGAGTTTGCCTGAAGTGTGCCTCTACTAACCTAGTATAAGCATCTAGTAGCCTACTATGAGCTTTCATAAGCTTGTTACGCCCCTAGTAAGCGTAAATAAACATGTTAGGATGTCCAATTTAGGTGTTAAATGGTGTTAAAGATGACATTTCGAAGACAAAATTCATGGCATAAAATGGAGAAAATGGAGAATTACTCATGGGTTTTTCCATTTTCTCCATAGAAAAAGTCTCCATTTTATGCCATTTTATGCCATTGGCCCCCCCCCCCCCCCGGAATACCTTCAGGCAAACATTTCCGTTGCTAAGAGTGTCTGCGGATTATCATGTGTGACGTGCGCCCACATCCAGAAAGTTAAAGGACCAGTTAACTGAAAAATTTGTAGTCTCCAATTTGGCTAAGATTTAAATCAGCTGTGACAAACTGGTAAAGAATCGTATCGCCGAAAGAACCAACTCTCTAGCGTACGTGTAACGCGTGTTATTGCAATAATAAGCTGTGGCCTCGTGACGTCATAAAGTCCCTCAGTGCGCGCTTGCATAGCGTAATACATTGCAAATGTTTATCATCGTCAATAAAACACGTGTAACTCACTCAAATTTTAGAATTATGACTATTACCCTAGTTCTCCAAAATCCTTATAGTTTTGGCTATCATCCTAACTAAAGGAATAGCTGATTGGATGTACAGTGCTCACGTCATGATTTTAAACAGTGACATAATTTCTTGAACAGTGGCGGGTGAATGTACGGTTAGAAAGTTTCTGCTATTACAAATTATGTCATATAATGTGATAATTTTGGATTGTTTTCATTGCTTAATTACACAAGCAGGGAGACTGTACCGATTATTTTTCCCCAGTCCATGAAACTCTAACGAATTTAGAAAGGATCTAGATAAGTAGGAGTTTGTTCAATTCCGAGAGCAATTATACTTATATAATAGCGAAATTTCTAACTTTAATCCGCATGTGTCAGCCAGTACAGGAGACAAGAAGTCTGGCTACTTTACGGCCGTTCCTCTGGGACCATTTGCATTAGTAGAAGTAGCTTCTATCAGAACAGTGCCGTGGGAACAGAATTCCCGCCAAAATACCCGGTCTACCAAATAGTAACACTGATTGGTGTGTACGGTGTGCGGTGTGTTTTGAATTAGACTTACGGCTTACCTAGTTGTTATCCTAATTGCATTATCATCGGTACATAACATAAATAAACTACTGGTAAGTTTAAGTACCAAGTGCAAACGTGTTCAGTCAATCGACCCACTGAACAACTATAGAATTTCCAAGACCCTAATATTCTCTGGCCATATATTACGGCAAGATCGATTGTTAGATGGCTAAACTACCAACGTTAATCTATACAATTCTAAAACTATGAGCTAGCACTTTAATCTAAAAATACACTTTTTATATTACTCCTGATTTTTACATTTCACGTAAAACATTGTCGCCACAGGTTGATTATGGACACTAACAGCTTAATTTGAGATAAATGACATATGAGTTTCTCTAAAGTTAACTCTAAAGTTGTGTAGTCCAGTCATTTATGGACATTTATGGAAATGAACCTGCAAATGTTCAAATACTCACGAAACTTTGCACAGACCTTCCTGAAGGTATGAATAAACGATTTTCGTTTGGAGACATTTTTTGACCGTGGAGAAAACCCAGGAGGACCACGCCCATATTGACCCAATTACGTAACCAATCCCATGCTTCTGAAGGTTGTAGAGACTTCTAAATAGGCTTAAACGAAGTGGCATATGCATGTTTATATAGGAGTTACTGAGCAACACATGGCCTAAAATCCTTACTTTTCGAGAAATTTGCCAAAAACCATTTTGGGCGTGGTGCTGAGCCCATTTTCGATAGGATCGTGATAGAGTCTTTAGACAGGGTGCAAAAGAACCGCAATTAGCATATTAATATATGACTTACGAACAAACATATGCCTTAAAGTGCTTACTTTTTCAGTTATTGGCGAAAAACTGATTTTCGGTTCCAGAAATCATGCTAAAATATGGGCATCTCGTAAATTGGGCTATGAAGGCCCTACAGATTTTTGGATGAGTGCAAATTGTGCACAATGGCCATGTTTATATACAACTTATGAAGCAACATGTATCCTAAAATACTTACTTTTCGAGTTATTTGGGGGAGAAACATTGTATTATGTCCATTTTCTACCTGTAAAATACAGTCTCACGAGCTACTCTGTGCGCGCAAGGGACTTTATGACGTCATCGCCAAAATAATACAAACGCTAATTACACGCGTTAGAGAGCAGTTAGAGATTTAGGAATTTCGACTCGTTGCTTAGTTTGCTATTTGTCACAATCTGTCAAAATATGAGGATAACTTTTTTTTCAGTTAACTGGTCCTTTAAAAATTTCGCTCGCGAATTTTCCACTTTTGCAATGTCGGTGAGTGAAGCAAAACAGCCATAAGCATTTGGAGCTAGGTAGGCCCCAGAAATTTTTTTGCGTTTTTGCTTGGCCACATAAAAATCTACAATAACAAAATATCTGAAGCCCTTCAAAATAGTGTAGCTGAAATAAATTCGATGATAAGAATGTTAAAGAATGTTGAGTGTACAGTAAAAATTCGTATTTTGAGATTTTTGCACTATAGTCATAGAAACTGTCCAGTGTCCGTGTGGTTTACACTCCAACCAAACAATCGTTGGCAACAAAAAACATGGCAATAAACAATGAGATTTTTAGCGAATTCCTTACATAGTTCTTTATGCATCGAGATTTGATGGTGCGAATCTGTAATTAAAGAACTGATCGACAGTCTTCCTTGCGGATTTATTGTGTCTATATTCTTTAAGTGAATTGTTACTTTTGTAAATATGAATTTGTACTTGGGTCAACCAGTTATCTTGCTTTTGCTGTATAGTAATAATTATATTTCAATTCAAGGTTTTGTAGTTTTCAGTCATTTAAAAAACCGTTTTTCCTTTCATTCAACTCTTCTTAAGTAGTGAGTGAATCATTATTAAGCCCGATTAAATAAGTGGATTGAATAGATAAGACTTCCATATTACATTATGATTAAGCATACAGCATATATGACTTATATATTATAGATAGAATTAAAAGCCGCTGTATAACTATATGTATAATGCAAATTTCTATTACATTAAAATGAAGACGCTCGCAATACAACAAACGAACAACAACGATATTTGTTTTGACACGTGACACTGATTTAATTGGACGTTGTTATATTTTAATTCAAGGTTTTGTAGTTTTCAGTCATTTAAATATTGGTCGTAATTAGTCGTTGCACGAAGCTTGCTTTGACAAAATTATAACTAATATTCGACCAATCTTAGCATTCGTCCAATGCAATGTTGGTTTATATGTTGGTGCCAGTATAATGGCTCGTTTACATATTACCTAAGCCAAATTTTGGTCATTTCGAACCCCTCGACGAGGGGTTCGAAATGACCAACCCTCGACCCTCGTGGTCCTCGTTACAAGTTGGTGAAAATTATAGGCGAATAGCGGTCAAGTGTCAAAACAAAACAGGCTCTGAGGCTCATCTCCCAACCAATATATAGTGAATAACACAAATTCAGAAAATTAAATATGGTCTATCAAAAATGTTGGGTTCGTCTAAACAAAGACGGTGTACAAATAAAATTACATTACATCAGAGTTGGATGTGGTAAATCAGATTGTTTGTAATTTTACTTTTAGGATACAGCTAGTACTGTAACTAAAAATAATGAATTCATTTCAGTAAATAAGTTTATTTGAAACCCAAGAAACAAAAGAAGAAATTAAGTGATAACTAAATCTAAAGTGATAACTAATGTAAAGGTTAGGCACATTCAATTCTTATATCATTTTGTATCAAAACAGAACTAAAATAAAGTCAATGGTTAAACTTAAAGTTAAGCAGATTCGGTTTCATAAATTTCCCAAATTTCACAACCACATTGATGTCAGTTTAGCTTTAATAAGATATTAACTTCGTGTATTAACAGAATGGTGTATTCTGTCACAAATAAGATCCAAGACAGAACATATTATGCATTTTATTAACTCAAGAAAGACGTACAATGTCAATATCCGATTGGTTGTAACCCTCATTGACTCGGTGCAATGATTTGTATGTCCGATAAATCTAAACCATCTTTTAGTTCCAGGGTATGTTCGTTTGCTAAATGCAGTAAACAGGCGAATGCTATCGGCACCGATAAATTCTCTGACATGGTCGCAGAAACCTGAGGAAAGGACGAATATTATCATTCAGGATATAGTATTCGGGATAGGAGATTATAATTTGATGGAAAGGATCGTACTTCGAAGAAACCTATTACCTACCTATGCATAATGCATATGCTGTTTCTCAAGTAACAGCAATACAGAATAAACTAGCCTCTTACTGTGTATAAAATGATCTAAAATATTTGTTTTATAAACAGGGCGTCACTAAGAACTTGTACAAATATTCATGGATATTCACCTGATAAGGTATTTTCTTGTACACCTCTGAAAAGTTTACCAACCCGTTCTTCAGTTTTTCTCCCCCGTTTTCTAATACCACCTCTTTGTTTTTCACCATGTTCTCCACTGAAAAATACGATCTTAAGAACACGCATTTATCATAATTCTGTCCAATATGACCCTCCCATTATGCCAGTATTGTCACACTTTATTATTCGCAAGGAGTAAACACTTACTTTTAATAGATGCGATTAGAACAATGATAGAGTAGATAAGAATATTATAATGATAGATACTCCAGTCTCAGATTCAAGCAAAAGTTAATCATAATTTTAATACACAGATGATCTAAGGTAAAAGTGATCCCAGTGATAAAACACATACCATCTTCACTTGGCCGGGGCGCTATGCTACTCCACATGACTTTCTTCAGCTTTCTCACATCTATCTTCTTCGCCTGTTTCGCATAATGAATATCAATGCGTTCGATTTTAGGGGCTGCATCAATGAGTTGTAGATCACCGATAGGGGTAGGATTAACATCGCCTTGAGAACCAAAACTAATTTCAGCTGGTCCCGCATCATCGTCGCTATCATCCGGACCATTGGGGCAGTAATTACTCAAATCGTGAGGGTTATCGTAGTTATACCAATCTTTGTCAGTCGCCTCCCCACTACTGACTATCTTCTCTGTTACGGCGATCTTTCCTCGCCACAGCGGCATCATGGACAGCTTTCTTAAACTGGATTCCAGGTAGTGGATGTCGAGTGGGAGGGTGTTGTCTGAAGTTCTGTTAGAGCGAATAGTTTCGTCAGCGAGAGTCGTTTTAGCGCGAGACTTGATGAAATGTTTGAAGAGGTCGTCTTCAGGTGTGTCGAACAAGTGAGTTGTGTGCGTTTTCTTCTTTCTCTCCTTTTTTTCACCATCCACCTTGGTTAGGACAGGTTTCAGTTTCCAATGACCCGGTCCAGCCCACATGTTGGTTAACTGAGGGTTGAAATAACCAAACTCTGTCGGCTCTAAAGCTAAAGTCAATTCGTCAATAGTCATCCTCTCTTTCTCTGGCGCTCTCTCAACATGATCTCCTCCTTCACCCTCATCACAACTACTCATCGCGTCCACCCCAAAATCATCCTCGTCCGCTAAGTCCTCCATTCCTGGTACGAAGGGTTCAGCCTGCTCCGACTCCTGAGTGTCAGGTTGGGAGGGAGGTGGCTCGTAGAAACTCTTCTCCTCCGTACAAATCCAGTTGTTAAACCGGAACCCATCAAACGTGGGACAAACGACTCGTTCAGAGTTCAATAAGCCAGGAATTAGAGAGGCAAGGTGTGAAGTGTCGATAGTTGGCTCGGGAAGTGAGTCTGAGGTTGTTTGGGTGTGGTACACAGAGGTCGAGTCGAAGAGGAGGGAATCATTCTTGAGGAAGATGTTGTGAGATATCAGAGCCGCTGTACTCTGCTCATCTGATTGTCTTGTAGTTATCTGATCGGAAAATGGGAATTAATTGATTCAAGCTATTCCGGCTACGCTAGCGAATTTCATGTTTCGACTTCTTAATGGTGCTCCGGATCCATTATTTTTTGTCTTAGAAATCGGACCGGATCAAAGATCAACAAAGACTTATTTCCTGTCGGCTCCTATAAGGAACATATCGGCCATTTTGTCCAGGAATAATCTTACAGGAGCAACAGAAACGAACTACGAAAGATCACAATAAAAAGCGAGCTATTCTACCTGGATCAGTGGATCTACATCAAAGCTGAGGTCGTATGTTGTGTTCCGGATATTAGCTAGATTCTTCTCAATTGTCCTGCCCTCGCAGAGCGTGATCTTCTTTTTCTTCTTCTTATCTTTTTTCTTTGACGCATCGTCAATATCCCCGTCCTCGTCGTCGTCTATATTTTTCCAATTTTAAAATTAAACTTATGTTCGATTGTCAAAATTCAATTACAATAGGTTAAAATTGATACTTTTCAAGATTCATTCGGAATAAGACAAAAATAAAAATAAAAATCACACCTCTCTCATGTTCACCCTCTGCTTCAGTGCTTCCCATGGTACCCAGCATTTTCAGAATATCGCTGTGAACTGCATCCACTCGACCAGCGTAAATTTTTGCACCAGCATCAATAGTGCACCCGACTACCTGAAGATGATGTTGATAATAATCACTGAGGGGAGGGGGGTTTCTAAATGATTACGTTAGTGCAATTTTAATAAACCAGCCATGTGCAAACTGATTACGGAGGGGGAAGGGTTACAAATTGTCCTAAAGTGATTACGTTGTATGTGAACGACCCTTGTTAGATCGTGCCTTGACATGAAGAGAGCTACGATTTAGAATTAGATAATAGGTTTTAGGTAAGCCTCTCAGCTATTTAATTCATAAATCATCAAGAAGAACACTCATGATGAAGATATTATACAGTGGGGTGCCATATCTTTTCGTCATTTCTGATAATTAAATGACAATACCAACAATTTCCAATAAACCATAACTCCGCTTCCGGGCCACCGACTTAAAAAATTAAAAAATGGGTGTTTAGAGAAAATTCTCAACTTTTCTTGGACATTTTAATTAAAAATTTGATTAATTGGTCATTCGTGTGTTATATGAGCGATTAAATTAATTAATAAATTGGTCGATCGACAAAAGCGCGCGCGCAATATTATTTTGAGAAAGAGCGCCAAAATTTTGTGACCCTCGAAAAGGTACTCGCGCGTTCCAAATACTATTAAAATATATCAAGTTGGGACCGAAATTGGCAAATTGGCAAATTTTTCACTGTCAAGAAACATTTATTAGATAACATAGCGAACTGTGAATGTATTCAGGGTTGCTATGTGCATAATGCGCATTTAATATATACACCTGAGAGGAAATAGCTAGGATTACACTTTCGTTGATATTAAGCCGGAGTAGTTTGGACAAATAATTTCAGGCATTTATTATACACAATGGGTTGTGGGGTGCATCACAGGCTAGGAGGTCCGCTAATATCGTTAAGATACCACAATCTTGATAAAATATTCATTTAACGGAATCTAGCAAATCCTTAATATAACCCCACATTTATTGTGAGCTTCTTATAAATAAAATAAGGGGTCGTTCACATATTAGGTAATCAATATTCTAGCAATCAAATATTCATCTAGAATTTAAATATCATTTCGAAAACCTAAAAGATAATTTTTTGCCTTTTGATTTGTTGACTTTCAACAATTTTCCAGCTCGAACACAAGGGTCCCCCCTTGTATAAATATTGTTAAAAAAATTGTTTTTCAAATATCTCAAATTTGGTACTACTACGTTTTTTCTTTCCAAACTGAAAACAATCCAGTAAAAATATTTCCGAAATTTATTAAGTTTTCATGTTTTCTATCTCGATTTCGAAGTCCCCCTGGAAACTACATGTCACCCTGATCGTTATGAGCCGAAAATATTTATTTGGGGTTTTCGAAGTCCCCACCTCACCCTTGATATACGATTTTGGAGTCGAAGCTCCCCCTTTGTAATTCGATCTCGGAGGGCAGGTCTCCCCTATGCAATACGAGTTCGGAACCGGGGAGTCTGCCTTTCAATGTACGTATCAAGAATGACTCGAGTTTTCCTGGAAACTACTTTTCTCCACAGTGCATATATTAGGATGCAATGAAACTACCGGACCACGATGTATGGGGACTTGCCACCCCATGGCAACATTAAAATATATCGACTCTGTTACATCGTTTCATCAAATTATTTGTTATATAGTAGTGTTGAAAGTATTATCACCTTGATCATTATGAGCCGAAAATATTTTTCAGGACCTAGCCCTCGAGAATTTTTCCTGGAAATTTCTGATTGATATCCGGCCAATCACCTTCTTAACTACTTACTATAGTCGGATGTACGATAAATTTCTAAATTTTATCACTGATTTTATACTATTAGAGTGAAATTGAGTGGAATTTGAATTAAAATATTGTCAAATTGCTATTATTCTAGTGGGTAAAAAATACAATTTTGATTACGTTATCAACAACCAAACCCCCCCCCCCCCCCCCCCCCCGTAATCAACCCTAAGCATTTAAGCATTTGGAAACCCCCTCCCCCCTCGGCTGACTTCGTTATATGTGAACGACCACTAACAGTGGCGTAACGTTGCCTGTTGGCGCCCCCGCTGAAAAAGCGCCCCTTCCCTTTTGGCAACCCCCCCTAAGATGGCGCCCCCCGCACAGCGGCGTCGGCGGGGCCCTTCGTTATGCCACTGACCCCTAAGTGTATTTACCTGGAAATTGTCACTCTTTTCTTGAAGAATGGTATCTATATACTCTAACAGATGCAAACCAAACGCATTTTTAGCATTTATCTTATTTTCTGTACTGAGTTTTATACAATCTGCGTAATGCTGCTTCAACTGGTCTGAAATGAGTATTCGAATTATTACCATAATATCAATTTAACATCATGTTTTAAATAACACAATGGTGACTGGTGTTAAACCAGGTTAAACCAAAATAAGAATAGAGGCCAAAACATTATGTGGTGTCATCAATCGTAATTCAGAAAACTACGATAAGTGAAGCTGTAGCTAAATAAAGAGGCATATAATTAAAGAATTTGAATTAACCTGCACTAAGACGTGGTCCTGAGAGAGGGGTCATTACAGTTTTCTTCTTAGAGAGAGTGGGGGAGGATAAAACAGCAGGAGTCTTTTGAAAACTCTGAAAGAAAGAATTTCAATCATGTGTCAGTAAATATTAAATTTTCTCGAACATTCAATAAAAAATATAATACATATTTCCCCACCAACATTAATTATTTATTAAATACATTATTATTAACAAATTATCGAATACATAATCATATTTTAAAACCTATTCAAACTTCCCAGTGGAATAAAGATTTTAAAAAACGCTTCTTTGCCACATAAGGATGAAACCAAAGATAATCATGCGATCATCATATATATAATACCTGTTTACATGAAATCAAGTTATCAATTAATTAAAGTAATAATAGAAAATTTGACTACATTGAAATTTGATTACATTAAAATGTTCACAAATATATGAGCTTAATTTATTATAACTAGCAGGAACCCGTATAACCCTAAAATGGTGTCAAGACTCAAGAGACTAAAATAATTATTACCTATTTAATTCGCGTTTTTGATACCACTTGGGGGTCCAAATTTTGGGCTCTAAAACTCCTATTTATTGGCCTATTTTTTATTTTTTCATGCTGATTTGGAGGCCATTAAAGCATTTGAATTTTGACCCAGTCAAAAAAGTTTCAGTTTTATATCTTTTACGATTTTTGCGGAAAGTCACGTTAAAGTTGATGCCGTGGTGTCAGTAAAATGGTATGGATCCATCCATATATATATCGTCTCGCTTTATATATAGTAAGATAAGGTATGTTAGTCATGTTAGTACTAATACTAGTCATGTTAGTATGTGAGTCACTGAGAATAATATGTAGGGTAAGTAGGATCTATCAAACTATTCATTTTATATGCTATTCTATTTATCAAAAGTATTGACAGTACTAACTTGTAATGCTAAAGATTTTCTGTGTGCTTTCTTTTCTGCCTCATCTTCGTTAACTAAGAGCAGGGAATCTTCTTCAGTAGGCTCTGAAAAAGTGTATAACGATAAAAAACTAATCTGATTGGTCTGATAAGCATCAGCCTTTCAGATTCTTATAAACCATTTTAGTCCAAATTATGTGCTTCAGTTAACTGCAGAATAGGCACGATTAGAATCATGGTTGAATGATATTAATGAAATAAAAGTTGACAGTATCATTAGTTTTATCTTACCTCTCTTAAGTCCACCTTGGGGAGAGGAGAGAACTAGAGTTCTCCTCCTATTTGCTGATGGTTTTGGAGTACTGGCACAATTGGGCATACTTTTTCTTTTCGTTGCCATTGCTGACAGTGTTCGTTTTTTTAGCACGGAACAATAATGAATTAAAACATCAAGTGCTTAATAATATTTATAATTAATATCTGTTCGTCTGTTTATAAACCATCCCCAATCTCGTATCAGGAAATGATTCAACTCTAGATCTAGGGTTGAGTGTAAATATCTGCAACGGTATTCCAGTGGCGTAATGTAGGGCCCCGCTGACCCCGCTGTGGGGGGGGGGGGGGGGGGGGGGGGGGGCACGCCATCTTAGGGGGCGCAAAATCGTCGTTTGAATGTGTGACAATTTTGAAAAACTTAACTGAGGTACTAGAAAACTGCACGTTTTGATATAGAAGCACACTTTTTTAGAAATTTTACCGGTGTATCCTCTAAAATCACCTAATTTATTCAATTTTAGGGATGTTCGCCAAACGGGGGCGCATTATCGGCAGGGGGGGGGGGGGGGGGGGGGTGGGGGCGCCAACAGGCAACGTTACATCACTGCGGTATTCATCAAGTTTCAAGAGATCTGTAAAACTTCAGTTACAATTGTGCTAGAATATTTAGAAATTTGGATCAATATAAAAATAGTGGTACTTGCACTCGAATTTTACGGACACATTGAGCATGACAACCCTTGATTCAATTTCAATACTTCTAGATTCGTGTGACAAACGTGATGTTTCTTTTATCAACGTTTTCTCCGGATATACTGCTTCCAGTACCTTGATGGCAACTTGTGTCACTCTCACTGACCTCACTGATTGGTCAATGGTCAAAATTTCAGTCAAAACTGCAAAATTTCGGTCAAGAAAATGGCAGAAAAGTTTTGATATTCATGTCTAAGTAGTGTTTAACTAACATTATACTGTAAGAGGAATTCCTAGGATAACCTTGAGTATGGCATTTTGGACATAGGAGACTGCTCCCACAGCTGTTTTGGGCAGTATCCAGATAGTTGTTCCTGAACAGTTGTACACGAACAGGTGTGTTACCAGATCATATGACTGCATAATAACAGTACACAGAGACTGAATCAAGCAGGGTTCATATCATCGCAAGCACGGTTGGTTGACATCATCGCACGCGAATTTCAATCAGCGGTGTCAAGGCTTATTAAACGATTAATGGCAATTGATAATACCAAAAACAAACGACTTATATACCACATTTAAATCGTAATTATTTATTTCATTGAGAAATATACTACGCTGCAATCAATGCTATTCGTAACTTATTATGTCCGAGAGACCACATTTGAATCTTAATCAATAGTTTGATTTTACTACGCTACAATTAATGGCAAATTATGCTAGTCGTAACAAATTGCATCCAAGATACCATACATACCATTCAGTTTCATAATATTTCATGATTGTTATGTGATCATATTGCATATAGTGTACAACTGTTTGCGAAGACCTGTTCATGTACAACTGTTCAGAACAACTGTACAACTGTTCCGGAACAATTGTTCGCGAACATGTGTCGGGCTATCTGGATGCTGCCCTGTTTTTTGATCTCATACTATGTATGTATGTATGTATGTATGTCGACAGAGGGCAGCGCTAGGCCCGCTGTGGTGCCCTCAACCTACTTTTAGATTAGAGGGTCATGTAGGCGACATCCATGTCCAGTGGACAACGCAGGCCGGTGAGCTGTACACTGGGCACGCGCGCGTAATAATAGAGCTCAAACAGGTAATAGACCCCGCGAGCGTATAGAATCAGGATTTTACAGGATGTGGACAGCCGGCCCTGTGACGGTGATGGATGCGTGCAAATCTGAGGGCTTGAGTCGATTGTATTGTGGTGCTAGTGTACTCTGATAAGTGAAATAGCCCGAACCAGGTAGCTCACCTGCTCCGCATCGCGGGGGGCCGTTCCAATTTACAGGTGTACATGGGGAGATATGTCGACGCTCGTGAGTGAATGGGGAATAGCTGATTTGTGCGAAGGTGATGTGTGGGTTATGATGGTGCTGTTACTTTATAAGTATTGAGTTTCACGCTACATAAATATTTATAGTAGCATGGTTAAGATTCATAGTTCGTAGTATAGTAGTAGTTAAGTCATTTTTCTTTGTTGATGAAGTAAGACGCATGAGTTGATAAAATGTTATCGGGTCTTCTCCGATATATTCAAGGTTGATGGCGATAATTAAAACAACGAAGAGCTGCAATTGTAGAAAGTGATAATAAATATTTGTAAATGAATCTCGTTTGTTTGTGAATCCTCTTTATCGACACTAGGCAGGGTATGATGTTGAGGCGAAGTTCGGGACTGATCTCATACTATAGTTTGTTCAGTTCCAAAATGTTGGCCAAATAAATGAGCAATAAAAGTAAAAGTAAAGTAAAGTAAAATTTATGACATCACATCACCACACATGTCTACAAAATATCATCGCTTTCTTAGCAGTGGCGTAACGTTGCCTGTTGACCCCCCCCCCCGCCGAAAAGGTGCCCCTCTATTGGCGCCTCCTCCCCTTTTGGTGCCCCTCCCTAAAATTGAACAAATTAGGTGATTTTAGAGGATACGCTGGTAAAATCTCTAAAAAAGTGTGTATCTAGAGCAAAACGCGCAGTTTTGCTAGTACTTTAGTCAAGTTTTCGAAATTGTCCCACATTCAAACGACGATTTGACGCCCCCCTAAGACAACGCCCCCATGCACAGCAGGGTCAGCGGGGCCCTTCGTTACGCCACTGATTCTTTGCCATATATGGATGGAACCAAAGATAATTATTATGTTTCTCTTTATTACTGACATAACTGGCCCCCTCAATTCTTACTAAAACTTCATTAGAAACATTCCAAAAGAAAGCAATCATTTGTAATACTTTTAGAAATCATATCTCTTTCAAATCCTTCTAATTTAATTTTAAAACCTAAAACTGTCACAGAGTTCTTGACGTCCGGAGGGAGTTTATTCCAATATGGAATAACTCGCTCCGGGAGAAAAGACTTCAGGATATTCTTTACTTTAATAGAAGATAATTTTTTTGTATAGTAGTTTTTTAAAGTAGTAAAATATTCAAACAATATACACATAATATAGCAATGACCCTATATAAAATCAACCCTTTAAGAATTCAAAAAATTCCCTTAACAATCAAAAATTTTCAATCAAAAATTTTTCAAAAATTTTTTTACCCTTGGCCTTGTAGAAGATAATAGAAAAAATGTCAGTTTTTGCCAGCCTCACCAATACTTTCTGATTCATCCCCAATTAAGGTTTGTATACTTGTCCAAACCTTTGAGGCTTGAGCACAAGGGTGGTCAACGAATGCTACCTCGGAGTTGAAATATAGTCAACTATTGCATGATTGTGTTATATTATATCCAACCTTTCAAGATTTAAAGGAAAAGCAAAGATAGTCTATTGCATGATCAAAAGCATGCGATGCTGCATTCAGTCGAAGCTAAAGCAATTTTGAGAATGTGAGCTTTTTACTAAATTAAATTTGTCGTACCTTATTTGGAATGATTAGTAAGTTTCTTGTCTCGGCTTAGTGCTATATTTAATTCATAGTATATTACAAATTTTTCAAACAGTATACACATAATGTCACAATGACCCTATATAAAATCAATCCTTCAAAAATTCAATGTTTTGAAAATCACCCTTGGCCTTGCGGCTCCAAGTTAAAATTTGATTGACGGTGTCAACCCATCGACGATGCGAAGCAAGAATGCTAGTTTGCGCGGCGCGTCGAAGTCCTCCAAAGTTCAAATCTAAACTGTCTATATTGACAAAGTTCTTTTTCGCCCCTCTGTCCCCCCGGAGAGAAATAACCGTCGTTCTTAAGATTTCGAAACGAAGGCGCTTCCTTGTGTGTGATACATTTAATGAATTGCGCGGCTTTTGGATCGTAAAAGTCGTTGCTTTACGTTATATACACTCTCATACGTTGTATGACTCGCCGCGCACGAGAGCGCAGCTCCCCTGTATCGTCGAAACTCTACAGTGAAGCGACAGTGGGGGTCACCACGTGATACAAATATACACTATACCGGCAGCCGCGCAAAAAGAGATATCAACGTGTATTGTGTAAATATATATATATATATATATAATAAAAAAGTTGCGTAATTTGACAAAATTTATTAATTTTCGTCGTATATGTTATTCCGTAATATCTTCAGTTCCTGAAATAAGATCATTTTGAAAATGTTTAAAGACCTTATAATTCACTAATTGGACTTTAAAAACTTTGGAAAAATTTAATGGACATTGAAGAATTGATATCGTAATGAAAATTGGACAAAAGATGTTGCTTTGAGTTGAGTTGGAGTTGTAACATGATGTTTGATAATTGTATCATATTTAACGGTTACTGGGTGGAGCTCAGCCTGTCATTCCGCCGAATCTTTATTCGGGCTGAGTGAATTACGACTTCCATCACCCTGAAAAAAGTGCGAATGCTCATTGGATGTTAAAGCGCACGTGACTTGTCATACGTTGTATGACCCGCCGCGCACGAAGTGCGCGGCTCCCCTGTATCGTCGAAGACGATACAGTGAAGCGACCGTAGGGGTCACCACGTGATACAACATGTGACTATTGACAATTGTTAATGATCTGGCCCGGCGCGCGCTACTTCGTAGCTCGTTCCATGATCGGGCCATAACATTTTGAGAAGAAAGCGGCGCGCGCTACTTCGAAGAAATTTAGACGAGTAACATCCGTCAAACGTGACTAGCATTCACGTGATCGATCAGCTACCCAATTACAGTCGCGCATAAGATCAATAGCACGCCAACTACCAATAAGAAAGAAGTGAAGTATGCGCTACAAAAGCCGCGCGCTGAGTTAGATTGTAAAATCTGATTATTTGATTGTAAAATCGTATAAACACTGCTGCGCGCAGTGCCGTGACCGGTATGCGTCGTAATTAGCTCGTATTCATATTTGAACAATTTTGAAGCCAAATTAAGGTGTTTGTTTTAGATTTGAATAAATAATATGGACACAGTTCGAAAGTAATTTGTCTACTAAATAGTATTATGAAAGAATGAACAAAATTGGTTAAAATTTGCCATAGATGTGACAAAAAAACTACGCACAGGATTGAATATTTCTCCACCAACGCGTGAAAATTTCTGAGTTCAACATTATATATTTCAGCTTGGTAATTGTAGTACTCAATTTTTAATAGCCTAATCCGATTACTAAGTATTTTATTTATACGACAGTATAAATTTTTTTGAATATTTGCTAGATTAAAATAATAATAGGAGTAGGAACGTCGAAGGTCTTGCGCTTATTTTAGTCCCAAAATATATCCTAATCATTAATTTCATAAAAAATCACTGAAAGTGATGTCTACAGGTATATTTAGCCCTAACACCTTCCCAAATCATTAAGCAAGGGTTCATAGTCAGTTTTTAAGATCAACTTCAATATCATTGTTAAGACAGTGAAAGACATAATACTAAAAGTAAATCATAAATGAGTGGTTTCTCTTTCTCTTTCATTTTAACACATCATGCATTAGTAGAAGCAAGTCCTCTTTAGTGTCTGATTACCTATACTCCTGAAAAGATATTAGGGATATTATCAATTATGTAAAAAGAAAACAATATTGAATATGTGTGCAGCATGAAACATTGGTAGCTTATGTTTTTGAAAGCTCGCTTATTCGTTTAAGCGATCAAATAGTCAGTGTGCAGTGCACAGTGGAGAACAGTTTAAGGCACCGGAAATGTTCCAAATAAATCCCCTGTCTACTATCAGACCACACACTCCACTATGCACTACAAGGTATCGTATAACAATGGCAGTTGAAATGTGTTCCCGCCATTTTAAAATCAAAAATGTGCGCAGCATCTTACGGGTTATGCGCCGTGATCAATGGTCACGGCGCAATGGTTATGCGCCGTGACCATTGATCACGGCGCATACACATTGCGTTTAAATTGTCATATAAATGTCCAGCTTCTCAGTGAAATTTGGTTGACTCGACTAATTTAAAAATGTAATACTCTTTGTTTCATTCTAGTTCAATTGTATTTCTATTATGGTCGGAAAGAATTATAATGTTTTTTTCTTCTACTGGGCCACATTCAGCCTGACATTCCGCCATATTTTCAACGGCTATGAACACTAACATATGAACACTTATATGAGCCTGGCCCCATGTAAGATGTTTCTTTGTAGTCAGTAGTGTATTACTATTTCGGTTTTATAGTTGCATTTAATGCAGTAAATATTAATGGTTTCTTCACCTCTTCAATGTAATTGGTTTGGAGGTCATTTGAAATAAGGAGGTAAAATAACTCACATAGCTTCCGGCAAGTTCCAAGGATACAGTGATTGAGTTTCTAGTCAACCTAGCCTCTTTGCCTGACTGATTTCTTGTTCGGCAGGGTGACTGCTTAGTGCTTAAACGTCAACTTCAACCTCTTCCACTGCATCGAATCGTACTAGTAGAATTTGTACCTGACATATTACATTTAGTTTAGCGACCTTCACATGTGGGTCAAACTTAGTATTTCTGAAAGTTTCGCCAAATTTCATTGATTTCAGAAGGTGTGGCAGGGTGTAGGCCATACACTGAGTAACATCTGCTTATTTAGTCAAACATTTAGTGTGGCCTTGCCCATCAGCAGCCTGTCCGATACTTGGAAGCTGGAGAAATGTCGACTCCTACAGTCCTACCAGCAGTCTTCTGATGACATGATAAGGGCGATTCAACCGCAAGTCAGGTCAGGGAGAGTTTGGAGACCAGACAAGGAACTAGATTGTGCTGAGAGGGACTTAGTCTGTGAAGAGGTGAGAGGAATGGTCCAGCCGTACAGCAGGGCAGGGATTTGTTTTGGAGAATGGAAGAAACCGTGGAAGAAGATGAACGCCCGGGAACAACAAGCTGATGTCCTTCAGAGAGTTAAAAGAAACCTCGAGCATGAAAGGGAAGTTCAATGCGGCTCTCTTGAGATGCAGTCAAGATGGGGTCAGTGGAGGGAAGAGGTTATGAAGACGGACATGAGCTGGCACACACTCTTTAAGTATGGTGATTCGCTCACAGGTTTTATGCTCAGTGCGACTTATGGTACTGTGGTCACACCAAATTGATTTCTTCAAATAATCCAAATACAGGCAGCGATTTAGTCAACTTAAGTTTATCATTTATGTAATTGAACATTAAAAATGAATCCTTCATAGAATTTTGCATTTTTCATTATCTCGAGGGTATAAAATTGTCAATTGAGAAACACGTCAAATCTAAACAAATAAGTTCATTAAAATAGCTATCAATCAGTAAATGAACGAACCTGTACATCTAGAAGATATGATGTAGGTCCACACTTGTAACTTGTCAGACCGGTTGTTGTACAGCTTCCTGTTCAGCCTGAAAACACATTTCTGTTACCATGACAATGTTACCATTACAAGATACCCGTGATGAGGAGTGTCATGACGTTACGTCACTGATAAAGTTAATACACCTCCTCCCCACTAATAGTGCACTAACCTGGAAATGAGGGAGTAGTGAGGACCAGCGTCAGTAACTATAAAAAAAGCCCCCTATCATGATACTTTAGTTTCTCATGCAGGATTAAAAAATAGTAGTTGAACCCAACTTACACCAGATAAGATATGACTCAGTCACTTTATCTACATTACCTGGCAGACGTAACAGCCGAAGTGCCGAACTTATAGACCACAAAGTCTTGAGGGGAGAGGTCGTTAAGATCAACAGGTATTAGCTCAGTATCAAAATCGTGTTCAGAGTTCAATTTTGAGATATACCCTACTGAGGGTGAAAGTTTGGTTACCAAGTGAGATGACACAGTCAGTTACTTAGATACCGTGGTTACTAAATGACGGCAAATCAGTGACTGTAGGGACGGAATTGTATAATAATTGCCAGAATTATGTCAAATATGAAATAAGTGCCAAGAGTCAGTTTTGTGGGTTATCTTACTGGCTTTAACTTAGGGGTTTTAAATAAAATGGTTGGATAAGTGTAAAACACATTATTTGGCCGTTTGAGATCCTGAAATTAGTGCCAGGAGTCAGTTTTGTGGGTTATCTTACTGGCTGTAAAGGGGTTTTAAAAAATGTAAATGGTTGGATAAGTGTAAAACACATTATTTGGCATCCTGAAATTAGTGCCAGGAGTCAGTTTTGTGGATTGGGGGGGGGGGGGGGGGGGGTCCAAGGGGAACTTTGGGGAGTTTTGGGGAACTTTTTTTTGGGGAACTTCAGGAAACCTGGGGGACTTTCCCAAAGTTCCCCAAAAAATTATCAATGAAACAAATAATTTTGGGGAATTTTGGGGAACTTTTTTTTGGGGAACTTCAGAAAGTTCCCCAAAATTCCCCAAAGTGCCCCAAAGTTCCCCAAAGTTCCCCAATAAAATTATCATGCCAAAAAAATTATCATGCTGCAAGTATCAACAAGTAAGTTAAGATTATACCTTATAATAACATACATGTTAACATTAATGGGTATTAATGTATATTAGAGAAATTTTGAATAATTTTGAATAATTTTGAATAATTTTGGATAATTTTGAATAATTTTGGGGAATTTTGGGGAACTTTGGGGAGTTTTGGGGAACTTTTTTTTGGGGAACTTCAGAAATCTTGAGGGACTTTCCCAAAGTTCCCCAAAGTTCCCCTTGGACCCCCCCCCTGGATTATATTGTTGGCTTTAAAGGGGTTTTAAAAAGTGTAAATGGTTGAATAAGTGTGAAACACATTATTTGGCCGTTTGAGATCCTGAAATTAGTGCCAGGAGTCAGTTTTGTGGGTTATCTTACTGGCTTTAAAGGGGTTTTAAAAAGTGTAAATGGTTGAATAAGTGAAAAACACATTATTTGGCCGTACGAGATCCTGAAATTAGTGCCAGGAGTCAGTTTTGTGGGTTATCTTACTGGCTGTAAAGGGGTTTTAAAAAGTGTAAATGGTTGAATAAGTGTAAAACACATTATTTGGCCGTACGAGATCCTGAAATTAGTGCCAGGAGTCAGTTTTGTGGGTTATCTTACTGGCTGTAAAGGGGTTTTAAAAAGTGTAAATGGTTGAATAAGTGTAAAACACATTATTTGGCCGTACGAGATCCTGAAATTAGTGCCAGGAGTCAGTTTTGTGGGTTATCTTACTGGCTGTAAAGGGGTTTTAAAAAGTGTAAATGGTTGAATAAGTGTAAAACACATTATTTGGCCGTACGAGATCCTGAAATTAGTGCCAGGAGTCAGTTTTGTGGGTTATCTTACTGGCTTTAAAGGGGTTTTAAAAAGTGTAAATGGTTGAATAAGTGTAAAACACATTATTTGGCCGTACGAGATCCTGAAATTAGTGCCAGGAGTCAGTTTTGTGGGTTATCTTACTGGCTGTAAAGGGGTTTTAAAAAGTGTAAATGGTTGAATAAGTGTAAAACACATTATTTGGCCGTACGAGATCCTGAAATTAGTGCCAGGAGTCAGTTTTGTGGGTTATCTTACTGGCTGTAAAGGGGTTTTAAAAAGTGTAAATGGTTGAATAAGTGTAAAACACATTATTTGGCCGTACGAGATCCTGAAATTAGTGCCAGGAGTCAGTTTTGTGGGTTATCTTACTGGCTGTAAAGGGGTTTTAAAAAGTGTAAATGGTTGAATAAGTGTAAAACACATTATTTGGCCGTACGAGATCCTGAAATTAGTGCCAGGAGTCAGTTTTGTGGGTTATCTTACTGGCTGTAAAGGGGTTTTAAAAAGTGTAAATGGTTGAATAAGTGTAAAACACATTATTTGGCCGTACGAGATCCTGAAATTAGTGCCAGGAGTCAGTTTTGTGGGTTATCTTACTGGCTGTAAAGGGGTTTTAAAAAGTGTAAATGGTTGAATTAGTGTAAAACACATTATTTGGCCGTACGAGATCCTGAAATTAGTGCCAGGAGTCAGTTTTGTGGGTTATCTTACTGGCTGTAAAGGGGTTTTAAAAAGTGTAAATGGTTGAATAAGTGTAAAACACATTATTTGGCCGTACGAGATCCTGAAATTAGTGCCAGGAGTCAGTTTTGTGGGTTATCTTACTGGCTGTTAAGGGGTTTTAAAAAGTGTAAATGGTTGGTGTAAATGTGAAATGGTTCGGAATAAAACCGAAACCAAGTATGAAATAACAGATATAAATAACAATTAATAACTTACCGGTTCGTAAAAGTTATCCGACTGGCATTAATTAAAAACTTAAATCAAAACCCTATTATCTGTTATCGTGAATCGTTAATTGCAATATATAATACAACAGTCGATAACAGCTGACATTTTACAACGAGCAGAAATAACAAAATGGCGCGAAGTTATAATCTTCACATACGATCAGGTAAAAATGGCGCCATAGTGCTCCTTCATCAACTATTTTACGTTTTTGACGATTTTGACACGTGAATAGCGCGCTTAGATTTGCGCGGCGCATTAAAAAAATTTAAACCTTTCGGATAGGGGTTAATTTATTTTTCTACTGTCAACACAGCCCAAGTTATACATGTTTTAATATCAAAAAATGTCCATTTTTTTTGTATCAGTTTTAGCTAAATTTCTTTTCAAATCGCTGCCACGTCAAAACTATTTTACGAAAGTATATCAAATTTTCACGAAAAGCAAACTTAATCGATTTACAACTGTATTGAAAAAGAATTTAATACAAAAATATTGAAACTTTTAAAATTATCAATGGAATAAATTGCCGACCTCTAAATATGTGTAAAATACTGCGAATAACGCTGCGCGTGGGGGTGATAAACGCGCCTATTTGCGTGTTTTAGAGGATTCAATTACGCCAGGCTATATGTTTATGAACATAATAGCCTGGGGTCCACAGGTAAATTTAACGGGTGATACTTGTAAAATATATGTTTCAAATATTATACCGGCGAAATAGTTGGTCGCGCGCAGTACGACATGTTTTTGGTGTTGACCATTGGTGGCAGGTACTTTTTGTCCTATTACGTCACGGCGCAGTACTGCACGGACACTACACACTGATAAAGCTTCTCTCAGATCACAGTTTAAGTTAGAAATAAAACCTAATTAGATCATCGATCAGTTAGTGATTAACAAAGAAAACAAAATATTGAAATAACGGATTATAATATATAATGTTTATCTTTCTAAATCTAAATCCCGTGCACAGTGTCAAGTGTAACATTATGAACTGGAATTGTCATATTAAATTCTTTGATCGGAGCAACATCTTGAAGATTAACTCAATCTTCAAGTTCAAGCGTTCGGCATCATTGTAGAGGATTTGTAGAAGAATGTTTTGGCAGTAACTGAAAGTAATTCATTTTAATTGATCAAAGAGGTCGAAACTCGGTTTATCAGATGGTTTGGGAGTTATAAGACATGATGCATTACTGATTTAACTACAAAAACTTGACCCACAATTATGACTGTTCACAATATTGAGCCTACAGTGTGACTGAATTGTATTTTAATTTGTAAGCCATATAATTATATTCCAAAAATTCTAATATGTCCTCACCTACTGTATGTTTTACAGTTTTAGGAGAAAGAGACCATTAAAATAGAGAATAGATTATTCCCAGCAGTACTTTATCTTCCAGAAATAACAAGGGCACGACATTCCGGCACAGTAAAATGAGAGTCAGAGATGAGAGAAGAAAGAAAATTCTGAGTAACTTTGTCAGACGTCAGTATAGCCGTTTTCATGTCAGAGAGATCCTTCGGCGAACTATCAGTATCACACAATGGCAGGTCAGTCCATCAGTAACTGAAAATAAAACCCATTACGTCAGTATTGCTATTGGGAAGGTTGGTAAGATATAATCAGAATTCGGCTAACTAGATATTTGATTTCAAACAAGTTATTTTTTCCCGATCCATGACTCAAGTGCCGAAGGCACAAAAGAGTCAAGGACAAGGGTTAGCGATCGAGGTTTTTTTTGGGATATGGTAGCTTTGCGACCGTACCTGCGTGCGAGCGTGCGTGTCTGCGTACGTTTCGCCCACGTGTCTGCCTGCGCAAAGTTATTTTGCGCGAAAATCTGAATTAAACAATTGTTGGCGCGCGGTGCTGAAATGTTCAAGTACATTGTTAATTTCATCATGTACGCATCCCGCTAGGGACTAATTGATAGCATATTATTATTATTTTGAGTTAGTATTACTATTTTGCACAAATCCGTGTCAGGTTGCATAAACAATAAACATATGGTTACATAGAAATATACACGATTTTCAAATTAAATATGGAATTATATCAACTGGGCGGCGCTCGGCCTGTCACTCCGCCATATCTGCATGCTTATAAACAGTAAAGACTGGGGTCCACAGGTGGTATGGAATATGATCAAATACTCCATCACGGATCGGGAAATTGAGCGGCCATCCACAAAAGAAAAGCGGCCGCATTTCTTGTTAGGTTATATTATTCCGGGAACATTATATATATCGTATTTCTGTCAATGAATGGTTACATTTTTAAGTACCATTTATCGACAAAAATGGGCAATTTGTGCGTGTGCATGGTAATTTTTAATTTTAAGTGGAATGATACACCCATGTGCAGTGTGGAACCTACAGCGTGTAAAGAAATGTGTGTAAAGTATGATTATTTATAGATTACCAGCCTGCCGTAATAAAGTAATGACAAAGTAAGCGAACATGTACATCTCGTGATAACATTTCGGTCATGAAGTTGGGATATTACAACAACATATTATTTTAATTGCCCACTTCACTTGGAGAGAATTCAGGTACGTGTGCTAATAATTGTGTACATAATTCTGATAGGAACTTTAACGAAAATATAATACAAAATTGGTCGGAAAATTGAATATGGGATACTTAGGAGGATTATTAGGACAAAATTGGAACATTTGTTACATCAGTTCTAGGACTAGACATGCAGTGATTCCCAAACTTGGTTTGAGTAGTCCTATGACCAATATTAACTCTTTCCGACCAATTTTGAACCATTCTGAGCACGTTGAGGAGAATGTTCATGTTTGTTCATTTCCGTTCATTCCATGAACCTAGCCAATTTGTGCGTGTATTTCTGTCGATAAATGGTTACATTTTTATGTACCATTTATCGACAAAAATGGGCAATTTGTGCGTGTGCATGGTTAATTTGAATTTTAAGTGGAATGATACGCCCATGTGTAACGAGCTGGACAATTGCAACATGTTGAATCAGAATGTTGACGAGTTTCTTATATTGACTTCTTATTATTAGTAATATTCTACCTTTGCAGTTGCTAATCTCATTAACGTTTTCTGTAAAACGCTAATTTGGAAATAAAATTCGTTAAATGATAACAAAAATTCTAAAAATGCTTGAGATTTCAACTGCTAAAAATGTAATGTATTTAAATATTGATTATTGAACCTCGAAACACACTGCGGTAAACTAATTTTAGGAGATTCAAAGTGTTATTTGACTAATAGTAATAAAAGTTATCAATTGATTTTACTACTATCGCTGCCTGATGTTCTGTAAAATAACGAACTAATATTTTCATTAAGAACAGTTCAGTATGGTCAATTTATTAACGCCCATTACGATAAAATTACTTTAACAACATTTTTTAAAAATCTGATAATTAAGAAAAAGTTATTATTAGTAAATATAACGCTCCCTCCCACTCCCAGCCCGGCCTGCGCCTGGTTGCTTTAACAGTGAAATTAAATTAATTAACGATACTGAACTATGAACCTATAAAATTTTCAAACTCTTATAGTCTCTAATGTATTACAGGCCATCAAGCAATTGTCTTAAAAAATGCCCCAAAATATTTTATGTTACATGAAACAATATCTATTGTGTTTTTCTGCCTCAAATCTTTCTCAAACGCATAACTTGTGTGATCGTGTTAGAAAGTTGTCACATGAACGAAGGAAGCTGGTAACTGGAGTGAGAAGGCTCAGTGGATTTGCTGAAGTACTTCGGAGGGGCTGGCGTCTTCATCTGAGGTTCATAGTTTTCAGAAATAATTTCAAAAGAAAATACAACAGTTGTGATTTAGTATTCTCTGGTGTTGGGCCATCCTTTGGGTTGTGAAGCTCAGTTCTGCTTCCTACAGGTGCATTAGGCTGGTTTAAAATTTGAAACTCGAAAAGTTGCACACGTGGGGACACGCCCAAATTGATATAAAATTGCCAAAATCATTGAAAATTGCTATTTTCACCATTCTCTGTCAACTTTGGAGTCCCGTTGTGATCCACGTTCTTTTTGTAATCGTTTGAAACTTTGCATGCTTATCAAACAATATATAAAACACTAACATGCAAAAATTTACGGTGATTCAATATTTTATGCGCAGTGCGCACGCAACGTCCGCTCAAAGTTTGCACGTGCGAAAGGTTGATAATTTTGCTCATTCGTGATTACGAACAAATTTTGATTTCCCACGACAGTTAAATGGCATTATAAATGAATTTAATGCCAACTTGAATGAGTATAAAGTGACATACTCAGTCAGTGATCGACAGATATGCTTACCTAAACACAAGGAAATTTTTTCATAGGTTAAATTTCGAAATCATTGAAATTACCTCCTTATTAATGAAGTTATCAGTTTATATTTCGACTTTGTAAAGTACCCTGACATTATAAAAAAATAGATGATATTTGACCAAAACCCATAATTGGGTAGAGTGGACCGCTGCCAGTATCTCTCTTTCCTAAGCAAAAGGAAATGATATTAATTTGAATGACCGTCTGCAAATGCAAAATTATACCCAAAATTAAATCGGTCGCTCGCTTTTCCTATTCATTTACAATTGTAATAGATTAAGAAGAACTACCCGAAGGCAGCTGTATTCGGCACTAACGATTCAATAAACACCAGCTAATTGGACACTCATTACTGCCCTTGTCCCGCAATACTAAGTATCGACCCGAAAGCAACCCAAGGCCAAAGAGATTTTTACAGCATGTGATTGATGCAGTTAATCGGAACTTATTACAATTCGTAAGCCTTGTACGGTTTTTCATTTCATTCTCGGTATCATTTTGCATTTGCGGACGGTTATTCAAATTAATGTCATTTCCTTTTGTTTGGGAAAGAGAGACACTGGCAGCAGTTCACTTTATTACCCATGATCATGAGTTTTGGTCAAATATTTTAAACAAATAATGTATGGGCATCACCCGTTTAGTTAATAAATTTAATCACACTCGACATGATAGTCCAATTATGTAAAATGATTTAAAATCATTTGGATTAATACGCAGTATTCTTAAGGGGTCGTTCACATATATAGGGGTCGTTCACGTATTACGTAATCAATTTTGGATAATATTTACCACCCCCCCCC